TGCCATTTGTAGACATTCATCATTACCCGACGTTTCCTCACTTACGACGAAGGAGGTGCATATGCTATTTCCATTTTTGTGAGTGCCATATACAGAGTGTAAGTCATAATACCTCTTCGAAAAAGCAAATCTATTAATTGACACAAAAAGAAGTAACATTAACTGAACGATAGCTGGAGGTGCATATGCTCTTTCCATTTTTGTGAGTGCCATATACAGAGTGTAAGTCATAATACCTTTTCAAAAAAGCAAATCTATTAAACAATTGACACAAAAAGAAGTAACATTAACTGAACGATAGCATGTCATTCGGATATATCTTGGTTAAAACTGGAGGCATTTCTGCATTTTAATGGTGCCTCAAATTTCCCTTTGCTTATATCGATGCATTTGACGAGAGGCTTGCATAAAAAAATTGCTGAAACTCCCATTTAAGTGGCCATGCACACCGACTGCGAAGCGTTGCGACCACTGCGACCGTGTCAACTCGTCGCAATCGGTCGCATTGGAGATGCGTGGGACCTTCTCAGTCGGTCGCAGCCCGCTTCGGAATGGAATCGGACGATTCATTTCATTGGCATCTTCGCAGTGGTTCCCGTTGCGTAGCTAATAACTGCAAGTTAGGAAATCCTTGGATACTTAATTTGGCGGCTCTTTTAGTGGAATCACATCGGCGGTAGATGATGCTGATGATCACCATTGGTTCTCCATGAACGAGATATGTAGCTAGAGTAAGTAAATATTCAAGAAAGGTCTCGGCATCAATTATATTCCCGATGATTTTCCATTGTTTCATTTCATGAATTCTAATTTAATTTTTTTAAGTCGAGAAGCTCTTGTTTTTCGAGTGCAAAAAACCTGAGTCGTCCCCTCCTTCAGGAGAGTGCTGCATGGTTTGTACGTATCTAATATATACGTATATAGACGATCTTGATTGAGTGACTGACTGACGCTAATTCTAACCATGTTCTAGAGAAGTTAGAAATCTGAAACTTGGCACTCATGTACCTTTTGGGATGTAGAATTCAGAAAATATCTGACATTGGAGGTACATGCCCTGGGGGCACCAATTTTAGGGGAAGATATTTTCAATGATATACAGGGTTGGCCAATACTTATCACCCCATTTCCTTTGGGAATAACTTTTGAACTGTTCAATGAAAACAAAAAATTCAAATGGGAAAAAAAATTATTTCTTGCGAATTTTTGTAAGGTAATTCAACAATGGAAAAGTATGTCTTTCAGGTCCACACCATTGGCCGCTTCGCAGAGTCCCAATCTTGTTACGAAATTGTGCACGACATTTTCTAAAGTCTCGTAAGTCTAAAGTAAGCTGCTCGATTTCATCTGTTTTAAGTTCCTCCAGCATTGTGGGTTTGTTGACGTACACTCGCTCTTTCAAGAACCACCACAATAAAAATTCAGGAGCACTGAAATCTGATTACCGCGCGGGTTAATTGACACTGCTAAACCGCGAAATCAAATGATTTGGAAACAGTTGTTTCAGAATATTCATTGTATCATGATCGAAAGTTTCTTGAAGCCTAAGCTGCGGAGACTCAATCTAAATCGTAAGGAAATTTAGTTTCAGCAAGATGGAGCAACAGCTCACAGAGCCAGGGAGACAATGACGATTCTGAATCAAATGTTTCCGAATCGTTTGATTTCATGGTTTGGCAATGCCTATTGGCCCGCGCTGTCATCGGATTTCAGTGCTCCTGATTTTTTTCTTGCGAGGGTTCTTGGAAGGAGCGAGCGTACGTCAACAAACCCACAACACTGGAGGAGCTTAAAAGCATCAGAGATGAAATTGAGAAACCTACAACGGAGACGTTAGAAAATGTCAATTTCGTAACAAGAATGGGACTCTGCGAAGCAGCCAATGGAGGGCACCTCAAAGACATAATATTCCATTGTTGAATTACCTTACAAAAATTCGAACTAAATAATTTTTTTTTCCCATTTGAAATTTTTTTTTCCTTGAACCGTTCAAAAGTTATTCCATAAGAAAATGGGGTGATACATATCGGCCCAACCAGTATATTTGCTTCAGTCAAACGAAGAGACATAGAAAGCTGAAATTTGGCATGGACGAGCCTACTGAGACACAAAGTTCAGGGAAAATGTCAAGTTTCAGATGTATGCCCTGGGGCATACTTTTGGGGGGTGAAGTTTTCAAATAATTTTTTTTTAGTCCTACCTAGGCCAGAGATAGAAAGGTGAAACTTCATGCATAGTACGATAACCCTTAGACTTAAGTCTTTGTAAGTCTGAAACCTCCATTTACGTGAAGGCTGTGCTTAAAGTCCCCCTCTACAAAGGTTTATAAAAAGAAACGAAGTCATGTTGCCTATCTGTACCTTTCGAGAAGCGTGACATGGACGTACCTACTGAGACTGAGTTCAGGAAAAATGTCAAGTTTTAGATACATGCCCTGGGGGCATATTTTTTGGGGGTGACATTTTCAAATGATTTTGTTTGTCCACTGAATTGTTCAGAGATAGAGAGGAGAAACTTACCACAGCAGTATTTGAGGTGATGGTGAGTTCAGAAAAAATTCAAGTTTTGTGGTGCATACCCCTAGGGCACAGCTTTTGACTGTGTCGGTTTTTACAAAAATATTTTTGCACCAGCAAAAAGAGCAAATGGATAAGGCTGAAACTTGGTATGCACATATTTCTCCGAGTACTGATTTCAGTAAAAAAATATTAATTTTTAGGTAAAATCCTTGAGGGCATATTTTTTTTTTAGCAAAAGGAGCTTTTTCCGGAAACTTTTCTGATTCAATGAAAGAGAGAACTAAAGAAATTCGAAACTTGGAGCAGAAGTACTTGTTCGATTGCTGAGTACATCTCCTACTTTTCAAATATGACCCATCAAGGCAGATTATGAAGAGATTTGAAGTTAGACACACGAGAAACAATGGGAGTAATTATTCAGATTAAAATATCGGTTTGTTCGCTCTCGATACACATCCGACGGGCACATACTTTTAATACGTTTTTGCCACTCTATTGGGAATCTGAATTCAGAAACATTCAGACTTTGGAGGTAAATGCACTTCCGACACGAATTTCAGGGGGAGATGTTTCCAAATATTTTTCTTTGCTTCAGTACAACGGATAGACATGGAAAGCTAAAGCGTGACATGGACGTACCTACTGAGACTGAGTTCAGGAAAAATGTCAAGTTTTGGATACATGCCCTGGGGGCATATTTTTTGGGGGTGACATTTTCAAATGATTTTGTTTGTCCACTGAATTGTTCAGAGATAGAGAGGTGAAACTTACCACAGCAGTAATTGAGGTGATGGTGAGTTCTGAAAAAATTCAAGTTTTGTGGTGCATACCCCTAGGGCACAGCTTTTGACTGTGTCGGTTTTTACAAAAATATTTTTGCACCAGCAAAAAGAGCAAACGGATAAGGCAGAAACTTGGTATGCACGTAGTTCTCCGAGTACTGATTTCAGTAAAAAAATATTAATTTTTAGGTAAAATCCTTGAGGGCATATTTTTTTTTTTAGCATAAGGAGCTTTTTCGGAAACTTTTCTGATTCAATGAAAGAGATAACTAAAGAAATTCGAAACTTGGAGCAGAAGTACTTGTTCGATTGCTGAGTACATATCCTACTTTTCAAATATGACCCATCAAGGCAGATTATGAAGAGATTTGAAGTTAGACACACGAGAAACAATGGGAGTAATTATTCAGATTAAAATATCGGTTTGTTCGCTCTCGATACACATCCGACGGGCACATACTTTTAATACGTTTTTGCCACTTTGAAAATAAATTATTGAATGAATCACTATCCTGGGAATGGAGCGCCGAAAGCACGACAATATTTTGACATATTCATAATATATTTATGTAGTACGCATTTACCCAACTCGATGACACTGCCACCATTTGCGTGGGGAAATTCACGGTCTGAAGTTTGTGTCCTGCCCTCTCTTATTCATAATATATGTATGTAGTACGCATTTACCCAACTCGATGACACTGGCACCATTTGCGTGGGGAAATTCACGGTCTGAAGTTTGTGTCCTGCCCTCTCTTCCATCAGATCAAGAAGAGTCTTCGCCAGCTCAAGAGACACGGGCGTTGGGGAAAAACACTCATTCTCTTTGGTGATAATATTTTCTACTAGAGTCTTGAATTCTCCCATCTGATGACGGGATCTGTGTAAGGGACCTAAATTTAACTACTGTACCTACAAAAAAGCAAAAGTGTTGCCGCACGAGCTCTCAAATTGTGCACAGCCATATGAATATTTATGGCCCACTCTGTAGATCGTTCCTGGAACGTCAAGCTCTTGTAATATGGCTTTGTAGTTCGGTTTGACAGGTATGATTGAGCTTTGCCTTCCCAAGATTTCTCTATCTTTCACTTGTAACTCATCTTATTCTCTCGCGACCCACTTGGAAGACCATCGCGATCCACCGGTTGAGAACCACTGTGCTACTGTATGCCATTAGGGTGCATAACTGAGCATACACAACTATATTCTAATGATAGTTGTAAATTGAAAAAAAAGAAAGCTGTGTGAATTCAGCACATTCCACATTTGCTGGTCGTTTGATCAATTCCATTCTCTGAATGAAGAAGCACGAAGACACGATTTACCACCATTTGCTGAACACTCGGCATGCCAAAATTTCCGCGTTTAGAAAAAGTAAATGTCAAATTTTCATAATCCTCATTCCTGCATTTGCGGGCAGTTTCCACGAATCCATGTCGCCGCAATTACAAAAATTCAAATGCATGGAAAGGAGAACTTGGTTTTCCCCTCGGGTAGCCTTCTGTCGGCCATCAATATAATTGAATTTCTTTCTACCTTCCTTTCCGTGCCACTAAATGTCATGGATGAGTCTGACTACTTGGTCAACTTCATTTTAACTGGTTTTATTCGAATAATTTTTCTATAAAAATGGCACAATCACTTCATGATGACACGAGACGGATGGGGTGGGGTGGCGTTAGCAGGCAACACTGTGACCTCAGACGATAGTATTTTGGATTTGTAGAGTCTTTCCGCTGCTGGAAGTGACTCTCAGCTCGGGCTGCGAGTCATCGATGAAGCGAACATCGGAAGGAGCTCTTAAGCCTCGGACCCAACTCGACGGTCCCGGTAAGGAATTCATCCTCCCTCGTTCCCATTGCAGCGTCTGAGAGAGGTGTAAGGCCAACGTGGGAAGGTCCGCGGCACTTTTCACCAGTCGGCCCCTGTCGACGCAGATCTCCGACGCGGCCGACTGGGAGGCGTCGGCGTCACCTTGCTCGCAGTCGCGATCGCCGAGTGGCACTTTGTCGCAGCGACTCGCGTCTTCCCGCGGGAAGAGGGCCAGATGGAAAGATGCGGCTCTGGAGGGGATTCTCGAGCTCTGCATCCTGGTATAACCGTCTCTTAGGTTGTCTCTTCTGAACCGGAACGAGGCTGGCTGGCGGAGCAATCGACTGCAATGCTATAACATAATTGAAATAGATTTTTATAACGTAACATAATTATAGCGAATATGTACTTGAATATAATATTATTCGAATGTGCTTCATATTGTGCCCTTGCGAGAACGAATCCCGTTGGTGACATACGTATAACAAAGCTCAATATCCTTTCAAGCCTATGTTGGATCTGTCAAGGTAATCAAGGTAATGGAAGCGTCAAGAACTGATCCGATATGCGTATCTCCAAGACCTTTCTGCTCGTAACTCGGTTTCACATGAAAACCCGTAGATCCCGGACTTGAGGGAATACTGGGAGGAACGGAAAATATGCAAAATGATATTAGGGATTTCTGTTTTTCAAAAAGACATTCTCATAAGATTAAACTGCAGTGTGATCACATCATCAGCCACAGCATGCTTCTTCATTATTGGAGTGTGCGATACATTGACGCTCCCCAAAAAAACTGATGTTCTGAAGGTGTCTGCTGCGATTCTTTCGCGATTTATTTCTAGTGAATTTCGGTTTGCCTCACATCCTCATTTGCAACGAAATTGTATTGTATTCGGTCTGGAGATGGGAAGCCTGCCGATTCATTCTGGTGTCCTGCACCAACGACATGACTCAGTAGGTCTATTTCGGCAACAATTCGGAACACATCCATTGGAAAGTTGGAAGTGATAATTCGCCTCACTTGAAGAGCGAGCAAATAAAACTAAACAAAAATTTAAAGAATGACGGCACGAAGGAAACTCGAAAACTCCTTTCTTCCCCAGACAAACCGTCATACCAAACCTCAAAATCGCTTCAGCAGATTACTCCGAGCTGTCACCTGAGGAGCAGGAGCAGCGGGAGGATGGAATTGAGGCTGATAGGGCTCCAGCATCCGGATCTTGCCCCATCGATGGAAGAAGAGGGCAACAGCGGAAAGCCAAAGCAGGAAAATGACCATGACGATCCCGATCTCCTCCCCTCTTACCTCCACTTTTCCTCCTTCCTCCCATAATTCTTCGCCTAAATGCAACAATGAAATAGGAATTTTTGCGGATTGTGGGAGAGGAGAATGTCTTCCTTATTCCATATTAATCTTGATTAATTTTAATAATTAATTTGATTAATCATTAATTTTGAAGGGAAATTATTTTAGAATTTTAACCCCTAATGTAAACAGTTTAAAAAAAAATTTAATTCCAATGTTACAAAGGGCTTCATGACTGGCGGTGTGCGGTGTGAAGAAGGAAATGGAGCCCGGCCCGTCGTGCTGAGAGATCCGGACCAGGACTAGGTACTCCGTGCCCGGTATCAAGTCCGTCAGCTCGGCCATCTGCCCCTCGCCCTCCATCGTCACTCGATACCTGCCATCAAACGCCGTATCAGGTCGTTCCTCGTATTCGTCCATTCATGTTCTTGTCACACTTCTGCGTTACGACATGCTTCAGCCCATGCAATGTTGGATTAAACGAGGCAAACATTTTAGAGGGAGCCTGACAGCTCTTATCATAAATCTCCAACAATACGGGAAAATTAAGCATTCCATGGGAATGTTTAATTGTATGTAGGGCGCATGCAATGCATCATCAAGTTATATGGACACTGGGTGTCCATATAAGCAATCACTATAAGTGATTGGTTCCCAATCCAATTATTTTCCCATAATAAATGATAAAATAATTGGATCCAACGGTCCCCGCAAATTGTTTCTATCGATATGTGTATACCTGAAGAAGATAGCTGATGTCAAAAATAATTTCTCAACAGCGTATCGGCCAGACATTGTTATGTATATAGTTATATTGCTCTAAAAATACCAGTGGGGGTGTCCATATAACCCATCGTTACCATCGTTAGCTGACGTTTGTTCGCCCGTTTCCATTCTGCCCGCGTGTCCGCTCCTGCATGGGGTCGATTTTTTCGAATCCCATTCGGTCGGCCCGATTCGAATCATTGCCCGCACCGGACCGGAATCCCGATTGCCAATCTAGCTACAAACTTGATCTGCGGTATCGGGTCGGTCCAATGGAGACGATCCGCATCCCGTGTTTTGAGTCGAAAAGCCACATCGCTCAAGGTCTCCGATTGTCTGGAGGCTTCACCGATTTTTCATTCTATTGAATACATCTTCGTGGGTTCCAAATTCGAACGGTTAGTCTCATCTGAATGCCGTAAGACGGAAACCACTGAAAATTGGCGCATGAGTAAACTGCTGGGCTTAGATGATGGAATTTATTCCCTATTCTTTCGATACCCAGGCGTTCGAAATTCGAACGATGTGTCTCCCTTGAATGCTACGAGGTAGAACTCGCCGAAAATTTCCACGAAGGCGATTGGGGTTCCCCATTCTCTTTTATTGATCTAAAGAGTGGGCGTTCCGAAATCGAACGCTGTGTCCCCTGAATTATAATCCAATGAGACAGAACTCACTGAAAATTCTTATAAGAATCGTTGAAATGGAACCCGGCCGATGGCCACCGTTGCGGTTTGCAGGGCGATGACGCTGCTACCTGGCGGCCACTATGCGGGAGTGGTCCCCGAACCGCACTCTGCTCTTTGTGTACTGAGCACGTGAGGATGGCGTTCGTGATACAGACCGTGGTCGGGTTTCATTCGAACGAACCTTACATAAAGGGAAATGGGTGGTCTCCGATGACAGGAAGTATCCCCCATTCGCCATATGATATCTGGGAGTTCCGTATTCGTACGGAGTGTCTCATTTCGATACCACGGCAAGGAACTCCCTGAAAGTTGATACATAGGAAATTGGGAGGAGATGACGGGATGCACCAGTCAGGCTTCAATTCATCCAAATTATGGCAGTTCAAAATTTCAGCAACTTGTCCCTTTTTAATGCCATGCGATAGAAGTCGATTAGCATCATTTAGGAGGACGCGAAGATTTAACAGATAATGGCTAGTGAGTAGTTTAGTTCCGTGGTGCCGCCTCCCATTCCAACCTTCTGGAATGGGAGGTTAAAGCTGCCTCCAACTCAGGATTCGAAACGATGAAATCAGCTGATTTCTTGATTGCCTCGTTCGTGTCCATTCCTGTCACGAGTCTCAGACTGGCACTTTCGTCAGCACGTGTACATCCTAATTTAAAGCTAAACGGGTTTCATGCGGCCTTCATCAACTACTCTTGATCCGAAACGAATATTCGTTTCGGATTGTTTCGATTGTGTCTGGGTCCTTCAGACCCAGACACAATCTTCGTTTTCAAGATCTTGATGCAAGCGTTGTAACCGAGTGTATTTCTGTCCTGCGTGCTCAGTTTATCCTAGCTCTCTGTGTTGGACTCCAGGAGTATCTTCCAGAGCAAGAACTTTCTTCTTTTGTGCCTGTTGTTTCACAGTGATTCCGGGAATGAATTTGGGTTCCAAGACCCCACGGTAACAGTACTTTTCATTTTTGGTCATTCTATTAGTTACGGGCTAAGGAAACCACAGAAGTGATCGGCATGCGAAGAAAAAAAAATTATGATGGAGATCGAACCGCAAGCTGTGCCACTTGGTTGTGCTGTGGAACATAACATTTTCTTTTATCGCTCTGAAAGGAGGACATGGGCGTTAATTTGTGCAGGCCCGGAGTGTTAGAGGAGGGGGAAGAGGATTCATACCGCGCGTTCACGGGGTGGTAGTAGAGGAGAAAGGAATCCGATGCATTGGCAAGGGGATGTTCCCATCGGAGGCAGGCAGCCTGGGGTTCGATCCAGAGCAATGTCAGCACCCAGCCCTGTCCATCATCCGGATTCGCATCGGGGGTAACTCCAGCTCCCGTGCGCGTCGCGAGCAAACCTACAACATAATGGCCGAGTTAACGAGGGGAAATCCGAGCAGCCCGCCGTCCGAAGGTCGAAGGTCGCACGATCGATCGCATCTCTGCGGTCGGATTTCGTCACGGGGCCCAACGATGACGTTAGTCTATACTGATGTCGAAAACATTCGGAAGTCACTAAAAATTAGGGGCGTCCCGATAGATCGATGGTTGTAGGTATCGATAGTTTTTTCGACCATCGTGATGAATCGGCAAAATATTTTAAAGGGGAAATGGATTGAGGCGAGTACAATACAATACAGTCTGTCCGGACAGGAAAAAGAAGAGGTGGCGTGACCCGCACGGGCGAGCAATTTCTTATCACGATCAAATTCTGGAAATGCTGGGACTGACAATATGAAAGGGGAGGGGGGAAAAAACATGGATGGAGGGAGGATCGAGATTTTTTTTTTCTCTTCTGTTTCAGTCTTCGGCTCGATCTCGTCAGATGCATACTGCGAAAGTGGACTGTTTTTATACTCCCTTGATTTCGAAACGTACATTGGTTAATCCCCCTCTATGTTCCTGTCTTTTTCAGTTGTATGCAGGCGCAATTTTTTTTTCATTTTAATTTGCATTGGGGCATTTTGCCTTTATAGTAAAGGCCACAATCGGAATAATATACATTATAGTTTTTTTTGCATTTTTGAGCTCTTTTGTTATTCTAATTTAAATTTTTATTTTTTATATATCGTTTTTATGCTTTGTATAAATTTACAATACCATACCATACCATACCATACCTTAGAATGAATTACGTGAACGGGCTTGGCAACTGATTCTCAACTGCAAGAAGCAAAAAACAGGGCTGTCCTGATGCATCCATCGACGAGTGGATGTCATCTTCGATAGTTAGAGGCATGGTCGGTTTCATAACTCGTTACCTTCCCCATGCACCCCCTGACCACAAGCGTGAGATTATGGGGATGGAGGTCCGCGCCTCGATCGAGGCAAGAAACGATAGAAGTGGAACCTCCGCCCGATCGCGGCGAGAAAAGATTGAATCCTCCGACACCCCCTCTCCTCCCGATGCATCGATGCACTATCGATTGTTCGGGTCGATGCCTCGATGCTTTGAAAACTTTTATCGTGACAGCCCTACTAAAAATTTTTTCATCTCGGAAACATACGTAGCAGAACGAATTGCGTAGATTTGCTGAGTATATATGATAACCTTCTGAGGGATTATTTCAATGTTTTACGTGTCGGAACCGGAGTCGGGATTAAAGTTGTCGAGGGAGGAAACACGAAAATAATTCGTACGGCCTTTAATTGATAGCGTGAACTCGCAGTGGTTGAAAGGACGAAATGCCATTCAAAAATTATATTCGCTCCTTCTACCTCTTTCATGTTTCACATAACTAAGTAATTGCAAGCTTTGGGAGCTCCTTCTGCCCTTCACTTTCTCAAAAAAGTGAAAGATTCCCTTTCTCGCTAGTTGGTTTCGTCAAGATGTGATCTAAAGGATGGAGTCTATACTGATTTTGAGGAAGGATCTTGGGAGACTCTTCCCCCGGGCCTCGATGTCTATTAAAATGGCCGATCGACACCTCGTCTTAATTGATCGACGTGAACTATGGTATGGTACGAGGCGGTGAATAAGTACTCAAAGGGTTGGGGCAGGATATATATTTTTCTCTGTTCACCGCGGAGGTCAGCGACGAGGAGAGTCAGAATATTTTCAGACCCCATCGAGGACTGCTTTCAATCGAAAGGAGGCGACTTAAATTCGAAGGGAGCGTCGCCCGACCTCAAGCACGATGGCGGAAGGGGGAAAGGGAGCGTGCGAGGGCAACTCCACCTTGTACTCCCGAGTGGAAGCCCCCCAGCCCAACCAGTTCGAGGCTAAAAGCGGTCGGCTTCTGGATGATTGCAGCCGAGGCAACGCGAAGTGTCTCGGGGGAAGGCAAGTGGATAGATTCATGACGCGATCGAGGGCAATTGGCAGGAGCAGCAGCTGGACGCGCGCCATGTCGCCGGTCTCATTCGCCGTCTTCCTCGTTCGCCTCTGCTGCTTCGGAAAGGTCCGACGAGGGACCGAGCCGAGACCATAGCAGCAGCGAAGTCGTGCTGACATTTTTAGAAACTTCTCGACGTTAAGCCGGAGAAACGAATATATCTTTATCTTGTTTTCCTATCCCATTCTCTCCTCCAGTGGCTTCAGGTGAACTGCAACTAATGCCAGAGTTTGAATCAATTTATGTCAATCTACATAAGAAAGAAGGAAAGGGAGGAGACGAAGAAGAGGCACGGACCAAGGCTCAACATTCGATAAGTACGCGTTCAAATGGATTTTTGATGGATATGGAATGTAACACTCCTGCTCGGCACATCGTTTCGCAGATGCGTCTTGAGTGCATTGAATTTTTAACGTCATTGCTATCAAATCCTTTCGACGGATTCGATAGATAAATATGAAATCGAGGTATCCATATTTCACGGACAAATATGGATTCGAGGAATCCATTCGTGATTGATGATTTGAATCCTTCGAACTTCCCCTTCTCTCCCTTCCCCTCACGATGCCTGCAGCTGCCTCCTCCTGTATTCGCCCTAATGTACGAAGATGGAATGAGTGTGGGACGCTCCATTCTCATATAGGGAGCCTGCATGATCTTGATTAGTC